CAATGGCTACCAAAATCTCCGGATACCAATCCCTTGGACTATTGTGTCTGGAGTTTTTTGGAAATCGAGGTTGGTACTAAAAAATACCAAAGTGCCGATCACTTCAAGCAAGCGCTTCGCCGGGAATGAGGCAAAATACCGCAGAGCAACATTCGGGCAGCGTGTGACGGTTTCATTGGCCGTATGAAGGCCATAATTCGTGCCAAAGGTGACCAATTCGAACAAATCTAAACTTATTCTAAAATTTGATTCTATTTCCAGAATTTTTTGCTTTCATTCAATTAAATTAAAAATATTGTAAAAAATGATTGCGTTGTATTCTGTATCTGTATTCGATTAGAATTTTTTCGATCTAAATTTTTGGGAGGTACCTCCAATTTTGATGCTATATCTTCAGTTCCAAGTGGAATTTCAAAAAATTTCATGGCCTATGTTACTTTCAGGCGATGTTGTAGTATACTTGGAAATTTTCAAGATAATCTGTTCAGTGGTTTTTGAGTCCAAAAATTACAAGCAAACAAACATACAAACATTTTCCTTTTTTATAGATATAGAAGATAGTATTTTGCTAGCAAAATCAGTTTCTTTAAAATTAAGTGTGGAATAAAAAAAATAACAATTTATTATAATAAAACAAGTAAAAAAACATTAAGTTCGGCCGGGCCAAACTTTTAATACCCTCCACCTTAGGATAAAAGAAACATTAGAACAAATGTGGCAAAAACCATTAAAATGCCGAATATCGGAAGGCACCGTTATACGGGGGCTACACCAAAACGTGGACCTATAATTACAATGTTTCGCTACACAAACTAGGACCCATTAGGACCCACAAATACCAATTTTTAGACAAATCAGTGAAAAAATGTTGCAAAAACGATCAAAATACCGAATATCGGGATGTACCGTTATATGGGGGCTATATCAAATCATGGACCCATGCATGCAATGTTTCGCCACCGAAGTTGAAACCCATTATGACCCACAAATACCAATTTCTAGACAAATCCGTGAAAAAATGTGACAAAAAAAAACTAAAATACCGAATATCGGGAGGTACCTTTATATGGGGGCTATACCACAACGTGGACCTATACATGTAATGCTTTGCCACACGCTCAGGGACCCGTTATGACCTACAAATACCAATTTCCAGAAAAATCCGTGAAAAAATGTGGCATAAATCATCAAAATACCGAATATCGGGAGGTACCGTTATATGGGGACTATACCAGAACGTGGACCGATATATCTCATTTTCAATACCAACCATCCTAGACACAATGCAAATAGCTCTGCTAAATTTTGGCGCTCTACGTCAAATAATGTGGGCTGTATCGTGATTTCAACAGACAGACAGACGGACAGACAGACAGACGGACAGACAGACAGACAGACGGACATCATTAAATCGACTTAGAATTTTATGCTGATTATGAATATATATACTTTATGGGGTCTAAGACGAATATTTAAGGATGTTACAAACGGAATGACAAAGTTAATATACCCTCCTTTCCAAGGTGGAGGGTATAAAAATGTCATTGGTTTCCAATCTACAGAGAATACTAAGAGCGAAAACTTAATAATTTTTAGCAATTGATATTTATTTAAGAGCACGCACCCCATTCTGTATTCGTGTATAGCCATCCCTTGCATCCTAATTCTGAATGAAAAACTAAAAAAAAACTCGAGCAATCTCAAAATATTTCTCCACTTTGGGAGGGAATCGAATGCAATTTTTTTGCACACGTTTTTATCTCTCCCAACATTGTTGAGTCCTTGTTTTTGTTGCTTTTTTCTTCCCTCATGTCTGTTGCCATCTTTGTCACCTCCATCTATCTACGTTTTTAGGATTGGCCTAACAAAGCAACAAAATGCATGCGCATCTTCGATGCCATTTCGTTGACTGTCTCCCTCTTCCCTGCACCTCTTTTTAGTCGTTGTTATTGCAGCTGTACAAAATTATGTTGGAACTTTTATCACACAGGGATTTCTATGTCTTTTGCCTTGCGATTCTAAGTTTGAAGCTCCTGTGGGATCGGGTTGGATACACTCTTGCACACACACACGCAACGGCTCGAACCACAGCACTCACTTTTCATAAACATTGTAAAATGTCTCCGATTTTGTTGTTCAACTTTTTTTGGAAAGCCATGTGGAAGGGCATAACATTAATTTGGAAATGAAAAGTTCTTTGCTACTACAGAGAAAACTTGAAAACCTAAAAGGTATATCAAATTTTATATTAAATATTAACGTTAATCGTGGCCGTAATCAGGTGCTGCAAAAACTTGGAAGTTATGTTAGCCGAATTACCCATTTAACTGCAATGTTGACAAACTGCCTTCTGCATTACCAGTAGGCTCAAAATAACCCATTATTTAAATAGTTACTAAACAAATGAACTTACTTTCTACATTGCCAATTAATGAGTAACGTCGGCACAGAGGTTGTGTTCTTTACTGCAAAAGTGTAGGTTGGGAGTTCGAGACTCGACATCAGAAATCGTAACCAGTAAGGAAAAATCAAAAATCGGGCGGCGCCGACCCTACCCTACACCACTATTCATTCCTCCCGTCACAAAAGAATTTATTTCAAGTAGATCATACCACCAATCAACATTTGGCTTTAGAGCAGGGCATGAAATCGCTTGGAGAAGGATTATATTAAAAATATATACCGGAACCAAGTTGCATAAAATGGAAACGTACGTCCCGAAATTAACTCCATGTGGGCTGATATTAGAAATTATTTGCAAAATAATCCTGAAATCGATTTGTTCGAATGGTCACCTTTGGCACGAATTATGGCCTTCAAACCTTGCTTTCCAAAATACTCCAGACCCAATCGTCCGACGGATTGGTATCCGGAGATTTTGGTGGCCATTGTGCGCTAGAAATGAAGCGAGGAACCTCATTTTGTAACCATTCTTGGGTGGAGCGTGCTGACTGCGATGGTGCTGAGTCCTGTTGGAATGTCCAAGGTCGCGGCCAAAATGTTTGCGTGCCCAAGACTTTAATACACCATCCAGAATATTTTCGCGATAATATTCGGCATTTATTGTGATGCCACGGTCGCGACCATCGGCTGTTAAGGCGGCCCACATCATCACCATGGCCGGCGCTTGAGTTCTGGTGGCCAACCGAAGGTGCACATTTTTAGTTGACCTCTTTGGCTGGCAAGTAAACACGATCTTTTTGTTTGTTTACAAACTGCTGGACAACGAATGTTTTGTCAGGGGAGAAAAACAAATTCGGCAGTTCACATTTTCGGCCAAGCAAAACTACTCATTAGCTCTTTTGAGTCTATTTTCTTTCTGTTGCGTTGTAAGTTCTTGCACTTTATGGAATTTCAATGGCTTTACCCCGAGCTCATTTTTCAATATTTGCCGAATGGAATATTCAGCTCGCCAGCCATTTTTTTGCCACTGTGATGCGTGTTTCGATCAAGTCGCTTCTTTACTTTTCGAACCATTTCTGCTGCTGTTGGTGTTTTCTTCGGTCGACTTCGTTGACGTCGGGCTACACTACCAGCAACACGGTAACAAGTGATGGTACAAAACACAAAAGATTTATTTCCATTTAAATGCTGGGGTGCTCAAACGATAGCCACTTATAATTTTCCAACCAAATATAAAGAAATCACACTATCACGATTGAATTCCATCACGAATAACATTCTTTCTGGAAAATTTTCACCAAAATGCTGTCACTGGAATAATTTTAACAGCTGTCGGACGAGTGTCTTTGAAATGACAGCAGTCTGAAGTTGGTGGCCGTTTTTCATCTCACCCTGTATATATTTCATTCGATTTTATATCTAAGTCACTCAAATCCGTATAAGATTTCCGGCTCAAAATATTGTGTAAATTATACACTAAAGACACTAGCTTTGACCAAATAACGAAGTCAAGTAGAAAAATCATCCGAGTTTGTATTTAAATATTCTGAAAGTCTTAAAATGCATTAGGTACGATATTTGGTTCGAGAAGTCACATACAACATAAAATTAACTCAGTCAAGCTACATATAGCTTTTATAAGTTAGTTTTAACCAAATGCAAATTGAAACCGCTCTAAAGCCTTAAAACGGAAGTAATACTTAAAGTGACAATATCAACATTTACAGGTGATTCTAATAAATATCAATAGTGGTGTTGGGTATCATAAAGTCAGTACCGGCCGACTGTTATCTTCCCTTTGCTGGTTTGTACCCAAAATGCGCAATTTTTTCAGCTTGCATCGTACTAAATGTTCGTACTTTTAAGGTTTTTATTATTATTATTTTTTTTTCCTTTTTCTAAAAGAATAAAAGCAAAATTTTTAACTTTTACATCAAAAAGTCTTCAAAATTTTTCATTTTGAAGTTTCCACAGGAGGATGTTAGCAAGACCATTGCACAATGGACCCACATCCAATACTTCTGTCCAAAACTATGACAACGTCAACATATTTAAACCATACACGCAAAAAAATATAAGCCTCTCTAACATATGTCCCAAACATATTTTGCAGCAAACAAATATATGTTTGCAAACATTCCCAAACATAACATATGTTTGGGTGCTGCAAACAAATTATGTTTGGGTCCAAACATAATTAATGTTTGGGTCCAAACATAATTAATGTTTGGGTCCAAACATAATTAATGTTTGGGTCCAAACATAATTAATGTTTGGGTCCAAACATAATTAATGTTTGGGTCCAAACATAATTAATGTTTGGGTCCAAACATATTTTTTGTTCGGGTGCAAACATAATTTATGTTTGGGTGCAAACATAATTTATGTTTAGATCCAAACATAATGTATGTTTGACTGGAAACAAACTTATGTTTGGGTCCAAACATAAGTTGTGTTTGGACCTAGATATAATTTATGTTTGGGTCCAAACATAATATATATTGGGGTGCAAACATAAATTTATGATTGGGTCCATTTGTATACTTACTGCAGATATAATTCAACCATAATGCAAACTAGTTTTAAAATCAATTTTTGATATTCACATTTTATTTAACATAAAAGAAATTCATACATGTTATAATATATAATATAACTTCAGAACTTCAAAATCTTCACGTTTAAGTCTGAAAGATATTTTTTTTAATAAATAAATAACAATAATTATTGAAGTATTAAAAAATAATAAAAGCAAAAAAATATAAAACTTTTGCAAATACTAAAAAAAATAACAATAAAACTGATTAAAATCAATAAAAATATTGATATTAATAATTAATATTAAATTATTAACACATTTTTATTTTATCAATAACAACAATATATTATTTATAAAAATTAAAACATAATAAATTAATATTAGAAACATAAGAATAATTTTAAGCATAATAAAAATTGTAATAATTAAAATAATAAAATAATATCAGTAATAAAAAATTGTTAAAAATAATAATATTAAAATAAAAATTCTAATTATAAAAATATTAAAGAAAATAAATAATTTATACTGAAACATAGTTTTTTATTTTCTTTAATATCTTTATAATTAGAATTTTTATTTTAATATTATTATTTTTAACAATTTTTTATTACTGATATTATTTTATTATTTTAATTATTACAATTTTTATTATGCTTAAAATTATTCTTATGTTTCTAATATTAATTTATTATGTTTTAATTTTTATAAATAATATATTGTTGTTATTGATAAAATAAAATAAACATTTGTTAATAAGTTTATAATTTATATCGTGCCAGTTTTCATAAAACTTTTATTTTATATTAATTTTTTAATTTATTATTATTAATATTATTCTTAATATTTGTTATTATTTTTATTTATTAATTTATTATTTTTCCTTTTATTACAATCACTATTTTTTCAATAAAGTAAAATACTTACAATCTGTTAGGGTCTTCTTTTAGACATTCGTCAATAAGGGCCTTCGAAAAATTCACCCTATCTTTATTTTGCAGGCGTTTTTCGGCAATAAAAATTCTCCATATTTTGTTGATAGCCGGAATTGACTTGATGGACTCTATGTCAGTCTTTAAAGTTGAAATAACATTTGTTTTTGGGGTAAGATCCCCAAAACCACCTACGGATTCACACTCCGATAGAGTGCCACTAACGGTCGATGCTGATGCCACTGATCGAACGGAGTCTAAATGAAAATTAAATATATTATTTAAAAAAAGAAATATATTATTTAAAAAAAGAAAAAAATATTAACAGCCTGTTTCTTTATTTTGAAACGAAATTTTTTTTGTTCCGACATAAAGAAACAGGCTGTAAATCCAGTGTACTTACCTCCAAATTGCAACTCAATATGAAAAGTAGGTGTTGACATATATTGATGAATTACTTTTTCAAACTGGTCTTCTTTAATGGTTGCACCAAACTCTAAGGCTGTTATTTTTCTTGAGGCATCAATTTTAACTCTAATTTGGCTGCTTTTATAAAGCTTTGTAGATTTAAAGGCTCCGGCGCTTCGACAAATAATTTGTCTTCCCCCAAAACAGTTGGTATCAACATTTATTACAACACTTGTGACACGACGCGAAGGCACAAAACAAATAAAAAGAATAAAAAAAGAACACAACCAGAATGCCAACATGAGACACGCGCAAATGTTACGCTCTTTTGTTCTCATCAAGCAAATCGGTGTGTATGCGAAAAACGCATGTATGTATGCATGAACATTAGTAAGAAGCAACGTCTCAGCAACAAAAAAACATCCAAACAGCTCTTTGTGTGTTGTTGTTGGCATTTTTTGGTGCATGGACAATAGAAAAGAAATAAACGTCTCAGCAACAGTTTCCATCCCATCTCAACTTGAGACACGCGCCAATGTTACGCTCTTTTGCTCTCACCAAGCAAACACTGCCGATCGCTGCTGTAACTATGTGTGGTGTGTGCGCGGCAAGAGGGATGGAAACTGTTGCTGAGACGTTTATTTCTTTTCTATTGTCCATGCACCAAAAAATGCCTACTTGAGAAAGAAAACGTTACAACAACAACACACAAAAAAATTGACTCCTCTGTATATATGTCGGTGTTAATGCGAAAAACGCATGTATGTATGTATGCATGAACATTAGTAAGAAGTAACGTCTCAGCAACAACTAGAAAATTCACACCGCACAACAGCAACGAAAAAACATGCAAAAAGTTTTTTCGTTGTTGTTGTTGTGCGGTGTGTATTTTCTAGTTGTTGCTGAGACGTTACTTCTTACTAATGTTCATGCATACATACAACTTCTATTTACAGTTATATTTGGAAGAGAGCAAAAAATGTTTCGGTTCTGCTTTGTTGTGCGGCCAACCAAGCCAACACATCATCAACGCAAAAACAGACTTCTCACCCTCCTGTCTTCTTTTAAGTCACCTATAACACCAATTCAAAAGTAATCGAGAGCTCTGTTGTTTAGCTCTTTGAAAAAAATCCTCTCCGCACCCATAAAAAAATATGTTCTAACATATAAAATATGTTGGTACCTAACAAATAAAATTGAGTTATGTTACAAAATGTTGCAAACAAATATTTGTTTGCACCGAAACAAATTATGTTTGCATCCAAAAATATATTTGTTTGCAACCAGTCCCAAACTAATATATGTTTGGATCCAAACATATTTCTAACATATATTTTTCTGCGTGTAGAAGCCAACAAATACCTCAATATCAAATTGCAGAATTTCAGCTCTATTCCTTCACCCAATTATATATCCATGTCTCAATTGTAGATGCCATCAGAGACATCAATATCAAATTTCGATATTGCAGCTCTATCCCCTCATTCAATGTAGTACAACTTCGTACTTTTTGAATAAATATAGCACACGTTTCTAAAACCATCTCCGTATCTTAGCCACAGACTAGAGTGAGATCATATATCAAATTTCAGGATTTCAGCCCAATTCCTTCACCCACTACTAAATTTAGTTCTATTTAGTACTTTTCGTGCAATTATAGTACACATATTTACAAACACATCCATATCTCAATTCCAAATGCCAACAGAAACGTCAATATCAAATTTATGGATTTCAACCATACCTTTTGCCACATACGAAATTTAGTACCATTTAGTACTTTTCGTACAAATTTAAAACGCATTATCAAACCAGTCGTGTACTGCCGAATTTGGTTTTCTCCGATGAGAAAACATTCGTTGTCCAGCAGTTTGTAAAAAAACAAAATTATCGTGTTTACTTACCAAAGAGGTCAGCTGAAAATGTACACCTTCGGTTGGCCACCAGAACTCAAGCGCCGGCCATGGTGATGGAATGGACCGCCATAACAGCCAATGGTCGATCAGAATAAATGCCGAATATTATCGCGAAAATATTCTGGAGGGTGTATTAACACCTTGGGCACGCAAACATTTAGCCGCAGACCTTGGACATTCCAATAGGACTCAGCACCAACACTCAGCAAAAGTGACCAATTCGAACAAATCTAAACTTATTCTACTATTTGATGCTACATTTTTTGCTTCATTTAATAAACTTAAAATAAATGTTAAAATTATGGCGTTTGACTTTGTTGCAGTTTTTTTTATCTCACCCTGTATTGCCGTACCGCCCACTTCATGATTTCTTAACATTTTTCAACCGGTTCGGCTAACGATTGGCAGTTTAAGACTGAACTCCCTTAAGTAGGAATTATAGTGATTTTATGTTAAAGGTTTCTGTACCTCATTATGGAGAATATTAAAAGTCCGGCTTTGCAGAACGTAAAGCGTTGTTACTTCTTTATCTCTAAAAAAAAGTAATGAAAAGTCCAGAGTTTATATTTGGAGTTTATGTGGAGTAGAACATACCAACTAAGATCTTCTTTAAAGACATTACGTTGCTTTTAACTCATTCAGAGGCATCTAATATATGGGAGGTATATCCAATTCTTAATAGAATTTCATCAAATATAAGTGGGGCATTTTTAGCCCTCGAAACAAAGAACATTGCTCTAGAGTGCATTATATGATTTCGAGGAGAATTATTTAAAAAAAAATATATATCGGAACACAGTTCCACCAAATAAAAAAAATCGGTTGGATGCGAAAATATCTACTAATTTGGACTGATATTTCATATATGGTGAACAATAACCGTGAAATCGGATGAAGATATATATGTGTGCTATATCCAAAACTGAACCAATCTCGAAAAAATTTACTACAGGTATTTCTGAGCTGTATCAGAAATCTGGTACCAAATATCATTGTACATAACATCAAAACGGATTAAACATTTATATGGGAGATATAGCTATATCTGGACGAGATTTTAACCAAGCATGGATTGATATTAACCGTCTGATAAACCTGAAATCGTTCGAACATATATATAGGAACTATGTCTAAATTTGGACCGATTCTCACCAATTTCAATAGGGTTCGTTATTCGTGGTCCCAATCGGATAACAAATTCGAGCTGCATTTTGTTCACAAAAATACATGGACAGAGGGACTAACATGCATAAAACGAATCAGGATCACTTTCTATGAGGATCCTCAAAAGTAACTATGTGTCTATCTCGTTTCTCTCTCCATGTTACAAACATATACACAAATACATAATACTCAGACCACTATGTGGTGTAGGTTATGAAAATATTTGGAGATTTTATCTCTAACTGATTGAAGTTTGTTGATGTTTTACAGCTTCGAAGCCTTTGCTTCCTTGAAGTAAGGGTTTTAAAAAATCAGCATTTGTCGTTAGAGTTACTGTTTTGCAAAAATGGTTTAGAACTTTGTAATGCTCTAGCTATTACCGTTTCTTTAGGACTGTATACCATTTCGTTTCTATTTGTATATTTCGTAGCTTCTTAACTTCGTACTTAGTTTCAATAAGAAATCTCTTATTCTGCCGCTTTTCGCCTTTTTCCCTACTCATCAGAAGTAACGGCCATATAAATGTAGAAATACTAGATCTACTTCACTTAAATTTTTGGTACGATTCGTAGACAAAGCTAGAACCATCTAGAACCAGCAGTGCAATAAATTTTAGCGCTAAAAACACGGCGTTTTCCATTTTTTTTTTGCTATTTAATATCAGTAGTGAACTACAATAGAATATTAACTAAAAAAGTTAAAAAGCAGGAAGAAAAAATAAAATCCTTAAAAAATTCTGTTAAAATTTTAAAAATACCGAATATAGCCGTTATATTGGGGTCAATACGATGTGGACCCCAACATACATAGGCATTGTTTGTCATAAGCCATTACCATATTCAAATTCGAAACTTGAAATGAACGGTGAATAATATAGCTAAAATCATGAAAATATCGCATATAGGGTGGTACCGTTATATCGGAGCTGTGCGAAGACCTGGACCAGCAATCTCGGTGGGTATTGTACCTAAACTCATCAAAATACCGAATATAGGGACGTACTGATATATAGGGCCTATATGAAGACCTGGACCTGCATAGACAATTTTCTGTCACAGACTGTAGTTCCCATTACGAACTCTAAATACGTAATTTGAAACAATTCCGATGAATAATGACGCTAAAATTATTAAAATACCGAGTATTGGGAGGTACCGTTATATGGGGGCTATACGAAAACGTGGACCTGCACAGATAATTTTCTGTCTTAGGCTGTAGTATCCATTTCGAACTTCAAATACCAAATTTGAAACAATTCCGGTGAATTTTAGCTTTCTATCTCAATTCGTTCGAAAGATAGCGTGATTACAGCAGGCAGACGGACATCGATAAAACGACTTACAATTTTACGCTGATCAAGAATATAAATTAAACATAACGTTCTTTTTCGAGTGACAAAATGGGACTAACTTTATTTTTCCTTTATTCTTAAAATTAAGTTTTGTTGGACAATGTATTTAGTGCAACGTTAGCACTTTTGATTTTATTATTTCTTAGAGTTAGGTTTCTTAAAATGTAAGCATTTATCTGTTGTTTATACGAATGAATGACATGAATGCATTGTAAGCATTTTGCAAGCATATTTAAGTGCCATCGAACTTGCACGCGCAACAGAAACAGAAATAAAGAAATTAACGTTAACTCCTCCCCTCTTTAAACCGAGCGTCCTCGATCGGTCAAAAATAGGGAATATGAGAAATTCTTCGTATTCCCGGCAATTCCACTACTTCCGGCATAGGAACACGATTACGTGCGTCATACGGACATGAATCTGCTATAGACGGGGTGAGTATAATTTCTTTTCCCCTTTTGCAGATCTTGGACCTTATAATGAAAACGATTATCAATATTATCGCAAAGGAGGTAAGTCCAAAATTTGTGGTTTGACCCCACTCGTATTTGCCTCCCAATAAATTTATGGCTTTTGTGTTACTAATTTGAATTTCTTTAATTGACTCTAAAGAGAGCGTCTCTTCTATACTGAGAACAGACTCCCTAGGTTGCAGAATCGCCGGTAATGGTTGAATATGGCTTATTTCAAAAAAGGAATATGATTTGTCGGAAATACTTAGTGTAGTGTTGCTATATTGGATGACATACGATCCAATAAGTCTTTGTGCAACATTATTTATTAGGATTGTTTCATTGAAATTATTTAACAGGATTACCCCTGGAGAAACTTCTTCAACTGTTGGTACTGTTTTGTTATCAGTTACCGTGCAATTCGATGTCTTGCTATTTAACAAATTAGAAATACAGGTGTTATTCTCTATAGCTTCTAAGTTTATGCTATTACAGATACTTATATTATTGTATTTCATGCATTCGCTCTTGATTCCGTATAATTTTAAATCTTGTTTGCACATTATTACATTTTCGAATTTTAATTTATTGACGAACTTCTCAAATTTTATAGGTTTCAGTAATAATCTATTACAAACTTTGTTGTCTGTCATTGGTATTCTAATAATATAAATGATAGATTGATTATTAGTTGCGATTTTTATTTGAGCAAATTCAAAGATTTCTTCTACATTAACAAACGGTATTGAATCTTTTTCAATTATATTTTTAATAATATTTATCTCGTCAGATGAAAGTATGAATGAGTTTACAATTCCTATTTTTGCCCAATGGATAGCGTATTGAATATTTACAATTTCTTGTTTTAATATTTCTATTTTAAATTTTAATTTTGAACTTAATCTATCTCTGTTTACATCACTGTAATTTATACTTTTTATTATTTCATTAGTTATTTGTGTTAACTCATTAATTTTTCTCAATGACAATTTGTTAATTACAACTTGTTTATTATTGTTTTCTAGAACTTCATTAGTTTTCTGAGTTATTATTTCAAAATCATCGTGGTCTGGATTTCCAGCAATCCATTTCCACGCTGAACCTATAAAATTCAATGATCGTTTATTTTTCACGTTTGGCTTCAAACGGTCCAAGTATCCTTGAATCTCTGTCAGCTCATGGGTTAGGAAGGGATGAAGGAAATGGTGTTTGGTTATGTTCTGGGAAAGGATGTTTTGTAGGGAATTTATTGTTTCTTGATATTTGTCGATGTCAATGATATGAATTATCCTGAAGTTACCATCTTGAATTTTTGCCAAACCGGAATCAAACGCAACAA